TACAGAACAGGTAAACAATAATAAATAAATAAATAAATAAATAAATAATGTATTTCCTTGTTGAAATGCCTAGACACTTATTTCTTATAAAGACTCATTTAGTAGACAATTAATAATTCCTTACTGATAAGTCATCTGCCTGTTGCATGTACCAGTATCAAGTGGAAGGTGTGTTGTGTGTGTGTGTGTGTGTGTGTGTGTGTGTGTGTGTGTGTGTGTGTGTGTGGGGCATAGACATTTAGACAAGTATCGACATTTATTAAGAGTAGGAATTCCCACAAGGAAATATGGTACATGTAATAACATGCATGTACATGTACATATGCCTCTACATGTTGTCTTTTAGTTATTGCGTGTGTTTGAATCATCCCTTCTCTTATGTCATCTTCCCTCTCTCTCTCTCTCTTTATCTATTCTCTTGTGTCTTTCTGCCTCTTCCTCCTCTCTCTCTCTCTCTCCCTCTTTTCTTTCCTTTTAATCTCTCTTTTATCCTCTTCTGTCCCTCCCTCCTCCTCTACCCCTCCCTCCCCCTCCCTCCTCCATTAGTATTGATTATAAAGTTGATAGAGATCAAGTGAGACGAGTTGAATTCACTCAAGGAGACAGTAAGTACCTCATACTATTAATAGTAACACTATTGCTTGTACTATTAATAGTAACAACTAGTAACAATGATATAATTATCATAGAATTTTTACAGTTTTTACAGTACTATTCACTAATGCCCACATCAATCTATTGATAATATCATTATTTTCATTTATTATTAGATGGTGTATATACAAGATTGTTTGCAAGGAAAATAAAGAATTAGTAATAACATTATAATGACAGTAAATACAGTGTGTGTGGGACTGTGTGTGTATAATCATTTTATCTCATTTATTTAATATTAGTTTTTGTATGTGTCCAATAATTCTTATAGTTGATTGTGCTACATCAGTTTGATTGTTTCATATTTTTGTTCAATGGCATTTTTCATGTAGATACTAGGAGTTTAAATGTTACAATATTAAACTTTGAGAACACAAACATGAAATAAATTTTAATTACAATTGTTTTGTAAATTTTACAATACTGACTATATTCATTGATATCAATTATTATTTAGTCATTTTGACACTATTATAGTACCTCTTAGATGATAATCGTATTTATTATTCAGAAGAGATCGACTGAGAGAGAAAAAATAAGATTTTTACGGAATGACCAAATTTAGTCATAATATCTAGAATGACAATAATAGCAGTAGTAGAGTAACACTATGAACAGTTATTACATGTGACAGTGATCCACAACTATTATACTCCCACTTCTCTCATGCTCTTTACCATTAGTGACTGGATAAAGGAACTACTTGAGCTGTGATGACTGTAACACATAAATTTGTGTCGCCATTGTATTACCATTGTAAAAATAAATTTTAAAGTAATTGATAAAATTAACTGTAAAACTAAATCTCCTCCAGACACTCTCATAATAATTATAGTGTTAATGAAAGCTCAGTACATATGCACCCACTTCTTTTATACAGTCACCTTATGGGACCCAATAATAATGCTGTCAAGTGTCCTTATTTCAGAGTGCATGTTCATGCATGATAGAAAGTTTTATGGTATACTTTTACCATTAGTGGAACTATATACTTGTTGTGATGTCATATCATTTTAACAATGCCACATTATAATTAAAGTTTATTGGGAAATGTAAAATTATTCTAATTCTTTATTGTACTCATCAATTTTAGCACCTAGGCAGCACAAATCTTTTGATTATATATAGACTAATTTAATCATTTTTACTAAATGAAATACAATGTCTATGAAATGACCAAATTTAGTCATTTTAATTGGAATGACAATAATAACAATAGTAGAGTACAGTTATTACATGTGACAATGGTTCAATGATTCATAGAGATATAATTCAACTTGACTGTATTCCAACAAATATAAAAATTTGAGGACTCTAAATAAACTAGCTATAGTGATAATTATACTAACAATCACATACTCCTTTACTCCAGACACTCTCATAAAATAGTGATAAAGATATCCATGAACATAGTTTGCACACATACACCCACTTCTCTTGTGCTGTTTACCAATTACTGGACAAAGGAACCACTTAAGTTTATTTCTTGTGACATAATCTCATCTAATGTATTGCAAACTATGGGCAATTTCTAACAAAAATAGTGGGAAAACAATTAGGAAATTGAGTAAATGCACAATAGCAAGAAAATTAAGATAATAACTCAAGTACTAATGATGTACAAAACATAATAGAAACATAAAAATGTTGCACTGAGTACACATTTAGTGAACTTATATAAGATAGACTACTTCATAAGACGAGGTATGTATATAACAGGACAAGTATAATATGAAAATTGTCTCTATCCCTCTTGCCCTTCCTCACTATTTTATCCCTCAACTGGTAGTATATAGTCTATAAATATTAGTGCATGGTCTTGTATGTACTGTATTGAAACTCCATGAGATATTACACCTCTATTGTGCATAATACAAAATTAAACCACAACCCACCATTCCACAATAAAGTAAGCTTATAGGTCTACAATGTACAGGAAGTACAATATACTTCCTGTACATTGAAGTATAAATTTATGCAAGTTTAGAGAGTAGATTTCAGAGATTTCAGTGTTGTCCCCCATAGACTACAAGATGATTGATGTCTCTCAATGGAGAGCAAGCATTGGACTGTGGAACTATTGTCAAGCTGCCTCCAGTAGACCAGCTAATGGTCGCCACTCTTCTCACTCATTCAAAGCTGCAGTAGACAGCAAGTCAGGCAATACTACATCAGGAGAGAAGACCTCTAAACTGCCAGCAGCTCTGTCTCTTA